ACTTCACGGCTAATAATTTTGGAATAAATATTATTCAGGTGATTATTTTGCTATGTGATCGCTGTACAATTTACTAGCAACTGTATAATTATTTCATCCACATCCCCCTCCTATCGATAAGGTCAGTAAAATCTTAACTCCCAAGAAAAAAAAAGATCAAAGTGCTGACAGCCTGACACAAAACACCCTCAGAAATTTGTAAATTTTCCCTTACCCCTCAAAACAATAAAAAACATCAAAGTATGCCGACAGGCTTAACCGCACAGAAACGACTTTGGGGTCACCTTCAGAAAAATTTATCCAAAGAGGACGGGGGGGAGGGGTGTCTGGACATTAAAGATGCGGTACAGTTCGATCTGCGCATGTGAATAAACAAGCCCTCTTTTTATTATACAAACAAGTAAAAGCCAGCCTAGACCTAGGCCTTCTAGTCTTATTTATATATTTTAGTATTCAGCGGTTTTTCACATGAAAAGACTGGGACTAGGTGATTTGGGGGCGGGGCGGAGGAAGCAAGCCTAGAAGGCCTAGTTGATTTCCCAACAACAAGGCCAAAACTGCCCTGAAACTGCCCTGGTTGCGAAATGCCCAATTATTGCGTTCTCAAACAGAATTATTTGCAACTTAACGGCGAATTTAAACCGATACAGGTAAAATAAACTCATTTATAGTATAAACTTACTATTTTTATTTGTATACACGTCTAGAAAATCGGTTTTTTATCATAAAGTTCGAAGCAACACTATTATTTAATATGTTGACAAGGTGTAGCGAAAGAACAAAATGAGTCAAAATATATACCAAAAGTAGAATCTTTCATGAAATTTTGTCTTATACACAAGTACATTAATATATATTTTCTCAATTTTGGCAAGAAGCAGTCTTGTGTTTGTAAAATATACAAAATAAAACGGATACATATATTATTAGCCCGTACAGTACTGTATATAAAAACGTACATTGTTTATACAAATGGTATATCTGTAATATTTGAACACTAATTTCAAATTCCTCATTCCCAATTCGCAAATATAGTTATTCAAAGCAAAACAGTAGATTGTCTTGCGAATAAAAGAATTATTATTTTGTGCCGTTTCGCTACACCTTGTCAACATATATAAATAGTGTTGTTTCAAACTTTATGATAAAAACCCCGATTTTCTAGACGTGTATACAAATAAAAATAGTAAGTTTATACTATAAATGAGTTTATTTTACCCGTATCGGTTTAAATTCGCTGTTAAGTTGCAAATAATTCTGTTTGAGAACGCAACAATTGGGCATTTCGCAATCAGGGCAGTTTCAGGGCAGTTTTGGCCTTGTTGTTGGGAAATCCACTAGGCCTTCTATATTTTCGCTTGCGTCAGGCTTGTGTCCTTCCTCCGCCCCGCCCCCAAATTACCTAGTCCCAGTCTTTTCATGTGAAAAAGCGCTGAATATTAAAAAAATATAAATAAAAATAGAAGGCCTAGGTCTAGGCTGAGTAAAAGCATAATTGTTGTGTCTTGTTAATTTATATATACACTCTAGAATCATGAAAATATAAATAGTTGTTCAATGAAATTCAATGTTTTGGATACCGACATGTAAACAAAGCCTTTATTTACAAACAGACTGTACCAAACTTTAAACTTAATGTACACCCCCCCCCCCCTATGGACGAGTTCAATAAAATTTGAACCCCTATAAGGTACTATAAAGAAGAAAAGATCAAAGTGCCGACACAAACACCCCCTCCCCCCCCTCAGAAATTAAGAAATGTTTGCCTTACCCCTCAGAAAAAACGCAAAGATCAAAGGATGTCGATGCACACAACCCCTCAGAAACAGCTTTTTCAACGCCCTTCAGAAACTCTCGTCTATAGGGTATAATTAAGTGGTGGCCCCATCTTCGCTAGTAATGCACCAGTCAATGTAAACCCCGCCCCCCCCCCCCAACCGGGGAGGAGGCGGGGATTTAGCAGGGAAAGTGGTCAGTTTTGATGGTAAATATGTCCCCGATGATGGGGGACTTGGACAACATTTTCTCTTTCGGTAGACGATGCGGGGAAGAAAGCGGGGGAATGGATTCAGTGGTTAACATATTTACCCTGTGTTGCTGTTTTAGTTTTCTTTACAAGAAAAGTTTAAATAGAATAACATAAATAAATTTGATTTTCTATTGCTTATCTATGAAATATATACAAAACTATTTTCCCGGGGTTGAGAGACATACGGGGACATTGATTAATTACGCTTTCCCCGGAGGCGTGGACAATTTCGCTCTTTTACTACCCCTCTAAGTCAAAATTGACTGGTGCATTGACTGGTGCATAAACAAGTCCGATTTGTGACAGATTTCTGGTCTTTGAGCTTCGCCAATTTCTCACGACAAGCAATAAATCTCTTCAGACGCTTCTCTGTGACCTTTAGAAGTGATTGTGAAACATCCTCAAAATGAATACAACATTTATTCAATTTTAAATGTTTGAGTGACCAACTTGTTTCAGCCGCCATATTGCTTTTATCCGCGCGTGGCAGCTATGTTACCATGGAAACACGCGCGATTTCAAGATGGCGTAAACGAAACATTGATGGAATATTATCAAAGTTCCAAGTCTATTTTCTACCTATTGTGCACACTAGTGAACGGGGGTATTGTATTTCATGAACAAGGAGACTAATATGCATTGTGTTATGGCAGAATTTTTTAGCCTCGCGACATGTGCAACGAACTTGAAAGATATAGTAGATATGTGACGGCCTATTTATTTATTCAGCACGTTGATTTATTACTTCCCGCAGCCTGCATGGGCGGCTGCGTTTACAAATTTTCCTAATCAAAATTGCTTGCTGCCTATGTAGCACGTATGGTATTTCAGTTCGGATTTCGAGGCGGGGATGGAATGGCCAGCAAGGGCGGCTGTTCGCATTGTCACAACCGTTCATTACTGTGATTATTAGTGCACGCATTCAGTCTCCTTGGGGTGGGGTTCATCTCGGTTTCGCCTCGATAATTTGACGATAATTTAGCTCCACCCTTTTCTTGGCAAGAAACATTAGTATTTTCAAACACCTATGTGTTAATAAATATTGTTTTATTTACTGAAATGAATCGGCTAGGAGGATGGTTACTCCTAGCCAAATTATCCAAAACATTACTATATTCAAACATATACGTATTAATAAATATTGCTTTGTTTACTTAAATAAATCGGCTAGGAGGATTGTTACTCCTAGCCAAATTATCGAATGTTTGTCGAATGTTTGTCGAATGCCAAGAAAACAAAGCTTCGGAGAATGAATGCATGCGCATTAGTGCTGTGCGCCGGAGTGCCGGAGGCCGGAGTTCTGCCGGAGCTCCGGCGGTTTTTTACCTGCCGGAGCCGGAGCTGCTGTGCTTTCTTCCCAGCTCCGGCTGGAAAATCAGAATTACTTATATTTGTACGTCTGTGATCTTATTGCAGGAAAATATGTAATACAATAGGACATATTCTAGACATAGTCTGTTGTAATATGATTACGGTGTATGTCTTGTAAAATAGTGCCGAAATATCTATTTTTATTAGCTTTTTCCTCTAGTTCTTGGATAATGAAGGATTCAATAACTTTAACACTTTACAATAGCATGTTGTAAATTACTACAATAGATAATTAAGCTATTCCTGCTGTGACAATTATAAATATTTTCGCTCTTGTCACGCATAACTCTTGAAGCCTTCGAAATAGCTAAATTGTTAAAATATTCATGCTTGATAACGCAATATCTACCAGGTCAAACTTCGGGCCGTGATCTGAAACCATGTTGTAAGTCCCCATTTAGCAAACACAACAGTGAATTTTCAGATGAACCATCGCGCATCGGGCATTTATAGGCGGGTTGTGATAAAAATGCGAGACAGCCGAGGCTCTTGTTGAAAAGTTACTTTAAAATCCAATAGAAATAAATTACTTTATTTTAAACGCACAATAATATCCCGCAAGACGACAATAGTCAGACTCAGGCCGTAGTCGCACCTAACCTATAGCTTAATAAAATGTCATGAAGCTATACGTCGGGCATGTTGTTTACTTGTTTAGCCCACTTCTATACTACATTATCCAACTGATTTCGTCTGCATTATCCAGATCTTTTTTGCAATTCAATATGCATAACCTAGCATACCTTATTGAATTGCGCAAGGCTGATTTAACACTTTTTAGTTCACTGGATATTTCTTTCGTTCGTGCAACGAGTTATTAAATTAAAGGCGTGGCGGAAAAGCAATTAAGATTAGTGACAAGATTAAAAATATAAGACGTATGAAGTCCTTGCGTGAAATCAACATATTTCGCGCCTAATATTTTTCACGTGGGCGGTACTATATCGACTCAATATTTTAGCACGCAAACAAACTGTATTTCCAAATTTAAGATAGAATAAAGCCTTAATTTTCCGAATATTAAAAACGTTTGCTCGATAAACAACGTTCGCTATTTAATATTACTTTTGTTGTAACCCTTGAATTTGACAGACACTGATTTGGTATTTGCATGCAACGTGGCAATGTGCCATTTATCTTGTTTTGCTGCCATTTAAACTCACGCACGGAAATGCCATGCCTACTGTCTATGCTATAAAAGTCTAAGATAATACGAATGATTATACATAGAGTGGTCAAACATTGAAACAGTCTCATTAGTTGTCAGTTCAAATTGTTTGCTGTGACGACAAGATATATTTAATATGGCAACTGCTGAGAAACGAAAACGCTCTGAAGAGCCTAGCGTCTGGGATCATTTTATTAAAAACCCACTTGATGGTTCAAAACCCACTTGCAGAAAATGTCGGCAAGTTGTCAGTCGTGTACGCTCCACCTCAAAAGCAAAGTCATGGGGAAATGGGCAATTATGGACTCATTTGAAACAGTGTAGGCCATCATCTTCTTCTACCACTCAGCTGAGTCTCCAGCAAACGTTCACACGTAGTACGCTTTGCAAAAAGACGGCGCAAAGGCGCAGGCAATCACACGCGCTATTGGAATGATGGTAGCTGTCGATTTAAGGCCGTACTCCATCGTAGAGAACGAGGGCTTTAGAGAGCTTTTGAAAATTCTGGAGCCTCGATACTCTATAATATCGAGAAAGGAACTGACGAATAATGTTATTCCTGAACTTTTTTCTGATTTAAAAGAAAAAATTAAAAAATCGTTGGAGTCGTCGGAAAGTCGGGTGAACTTTACAACGGACATGTGGAAGTGCGAAGGCCAGAATCGAGAATACATGACGGTTACCGCTCACTGGGCTGTTGAAAATGGCGAGCAAAAGCGCTTCGAGATGAAGAATGCTCTTTTAGAGGTAGAGGAGTTTACGGACAGCGCGCACGCATACAACATCAGAAAATCGGTAAGTATCTTAAGTCGCTTAAAATTTATATATAATAATTTGAAGTAGGCCTACCATATGTTTTAATTATCTTTCGAATTCTAAATTTAGTTGCGATTGGTGTGTGAGAAGTGGATAAGTGGGGAGGTACCTAAATTTCATGTTGGTGTGTCTGACAACGCTTCCAATGTGACACTTGCCCTTAAAAGTGAGACGGTCCTCGAGGCGCCAGAAGAGCTTCGTGCCCGGGCAATGGTTGAGCTCGAGCCCGAAGAGTCGGATGATGATGAAGAAGATCTCTTCCCACCACTAGCAGCCATGCATGAAAGATCGGCGGGATGTTTCGCACACTTGCTTAACCTTATAGTCGAAGTAAATACTAAATAAATTTCCTTCTGTACTGCACTTGCACAAGTTATCATTGTTAAACGAATTGTTAAACAATGCTTTGTCCGCCGTATGGTCCGTATTATGTTTTGCCTTACGAGGTTTACCTTTCATATAAGCAATAAGCCAACATAGTTTATGATATTGTTATTATTGTATAGGATGCACTTAAACCAGATGTTCAGCGTGCTGTTACCGATGCAAAAACTCACTGCGAACAAATTGTTACAAAAACAAAGTAAGTATGAATTATGAAAACAAAATCATGTTTCTCATTGACATTGTTCCAACGGTTGTTACTGACGGTTCACATTTCCGTGTGGCATCGTCAATTCTGACATTTTATTTCTTCAACATATAGACAATCGATGCCAGTTGCTCGAGCGTTCAGGGAGGCTCAAGATGCAATGCCTTGTGAAAAGGGTAAGACGCCCGGTGCCCTTGTTAAAAATGTATCAACCCGCTGGAACTCATCACTGGCCATGTTCAGGTAAATCGTAACTGATTTCCAGCATTCGTGGATTTGACCAACTTATTTATTAGCATCCGAATAGCTGTGACCTAATTGAGCTTATTATAGCTTTGTAACGTAACAATGTACCTTTTGTTGTTGCAGATCTTTTGTAAAAAACAAAGCAGCTCTTGTGATATTTCTGCGCCGATTTTGTGAGTTGAGTCTTCCTCTGTTACCAGCGTCTTTGGGAACTCGAAGCAACTTCTGGAACATTTTGGAAGGACTTGTCAAAGTTCTCACCCCCTTTGAAGATGCAACCCTTCAAGTTAGTAAGGATGAGGCAACATTGTGAGAGTGTATCCCTTATGCTCACACATTGGTAAGTAATATAATTAAAACAAACACTGACTGGCACTAGCACATTCGGGGCTTCTGGTTGACTGGTTGTTCAGTTTGGTCGTTATATTGCTTCTTTCTTCAATTTTTATTTTCCCATACTTTCTAGCTTAGATCCCTCGAAAATCTTCATCACCCGACTGACGATGAACCACCTGTTACTGGACTGGACTCGTTTATAACTGTTCTGAAAGAGGGGATTAACAACCACCTGATAAACAATCAAACCCTGACCTTACAAATTTCTACCTTCCTAAATCCAAGGTATACACATAAGTCGTATAATATGATACTCGTATTTTCGTTTTAGACATTTTTAAACGAATGTGCCCAATATCTAATCATTAAAAATAGGATCTAGTTGTTATTCCCCATCATGGCAATAATGACAATATGATATTACTTATTCTCAGCAAATAAACTTGCTGAACGTGCCGTTAGCCCGTTACCTAAAAACATGATGAGTGACTTGAGTTTGTTTTATACATTTTTCTGTTACAGATTCAAACTACTTCTTATTGATGAGGTTGATCGAGATGCCGTCCGTGAGGCTGTGTTTAGGAGTTTGTTCAATAGCAACGCGAGAGCGTCAGGTGTTGGAGGTGCCGCGACTGAAGGTGAACCTCCAGAGGTTCATACGTCACACAAAGGGTCACTGCTGACAACACTGACGAATATTGTGAGTGAACGCATGACCATGGGGAGTGGAGGTGTAGCTACTGAACGGCAACCGTTCCTGAGTGCAGAGCAAGAACTTACTGCCTACCTGTCGGAGCCAGTTATACCAGTCAGATCCCCAGACGGCAAAATCAATTCTCAGGATTTACTGGATTATTGGTATCGCCACAAAAACGAATGGCCTGCTTTGACACACTTGGCTCTATCGTATCTCTCATGTCCACTGTCCTCTGTAACTTCTGAGCGTGTCTTTTCGTTGACCGGGAACATTGTGACAAAGAAACGTTGCGCGCTTCTTCCAGGCAACATTGGTCGCTTAGCTAACATTTATTAAGTTTAATCACAAAAGGTTTTAAAAACCTTTTGACTTTGTAAATTTGTACTTTGAATTTTCTTATTTGTAATAAAGTATCATATTCTGTTTCTGTCACTGCATGACTGCATTTCTTATTTTCTTCTACTTAATTTACAAGGGAAAACCTCTCTCTCTTCCGCAGAGGCTTTACGTACCATAGTACGTTTATGACGACATTTTACATGATGCATTAGGGGAATATCAACTGTGTTCCTTCGCCCCGCGGTTCATATTCCTTTAACGCATCATGCAAAATGTCATGATAATCGTACTACCCTACGTAAAGCCTCTGCGGAGGAGAGAGGGAAAACCTGCTAACAAAATTGAGTCAAGTAATATCCGTCATTATCCAGTTACTAGGCAACCGGAAATAGATATAACGCAGCCGGAGTCAAGGCCGGAGTTTACATATGTGAAGCAGCCGGAGCTGGAGCCGGAGTTCAAAACTGTAAAACAGCCGGAGCTGAAAAACCGGAGTTTGCACAGCACTACATCGTGTATGATAATACTGTGGGATATTGCTAACTTAATTTAGTGAAAGTTAAACACTAAAATCAGTAAAGATTACCAGTGGTATAACCAAAGAATATCAGATTTATCAATAATTTTGAAAAATTCAGTTTTTCAATGGTAAAATTGATTACACTCTGTGATTCCTGTGTAGTAATAATGTTGTGTTGCATAGAAAAAGTATTGATCAACATAAATTATGCTGGTTTGTGAACTTATTTTTAAACAATCACATTTTACAGGCATTATATGAAAAAAAAGTACCAAAAATATAGAATGTTACTTCTTCTTAATCCTGATTATTTTTAAGAATTTTAAAGAAAATATACATTTTTTGTTTTTGTATGTCAATTAAGACTATAATATTTAATCGCAAAAATAAAATTTATAGCATATTTCCTTCAAATTTTATATAAGAAATAAATAAGACTGGTATTCTGTGGTACCTTGGTATTCTGTAGTACATACACCTGTATGACATAATTTTTAGCGACAGAGCGCGAAAAAATATATTGATGTGTTTCTTACCTCACACAACATATGTTTTTGATTTTCAACGTGATCAACATACAATTTGGCTTTTTCGAGTGTGTCTTTGGAAATGATTGTAGGGTTGGTTAGTTTGTGGTCGGCCAAGACACATTCCATAGTGTGTTGGAGAACATGTAGGGTTGCAGCCATTCTAGGGAGCAATTACGATGTAAATACACAAAATGTCATTAATGATGATTATTAAAAATATCTGGAAAGGTATCAAACAGCTTATTAGTTTGAAGCCCAGGGGTAACAATATACCGACAAAAATTATTCAAAATAATCATGAGATAACAAACACTAGAGATATATGTCAGGCTTTTAATGATTATTTCTCAAATGTTGGTAAGAAGTTAGCTGATACTATACCTACTAGTACAACACCATCCAGTACTATGGGGGAGTCTGTGATAAATAGCTTTTTTATGTATGCCACCACAAAACAAGAAATTGAGATGGAAATTAGCAAACTCAAGTCGTCTAAAGCAAAAGGTCCTTTTAGTATTCCAATTGATTCCCTAAAAATAGCCAGGTCAAGCTTACGACAACTCTTCAAATAATATACAATATTTCTTTTTCAACTGGTCTTGTTCCTGATCAGTTTAAAATAGCTAATGTAATTCCGATTTATAAAAGAGGACCTGAGGCTATGCTTAATAACTATCGTCCAATATCCTTACTCTCCATATTTAATGAGTTTTAGAAAAACTAGTTTATAGAAGATTGTTAAGTTTTATTGATTCAAACAAATTGCAAAATAAGAAGCAATTTGGGTTTCATTCTAAGCGTTCAACAGTACAATTAGCTCTTTCTATAACTGATAGTAGTCAACAGGCAATTGAAAAAAGATTGTATGCCTGCAGAATATTTTTGGATTTTTCTAAAGCATTTGATACCGTAAATCATGCAATCCTTCTTGAAAAATTATATCGCTATGGAATAAGAGGCATACCTTATGAATGGTTTTCCTCTTACTTAAGTAACAGACATCAATTTGTTTCAATAGGCAATATTTAATCTGATGAATCTGAAATTACATGTGGGGTTCCTCAAGGATCTGTTCCAGGTCCACTGCTTTTTTTATTGTATATTAATGATTTTCATAGTTGTAGCAAGGTTTTTGAATTTAATATATTTGCAGATGATACTAATCTTTTCTATGCTAATGCAAACCTTGTTAACCTGGAATCAATAATAAATGAAAATCTGAAAAAAGGTCATTGATTGGTGTAAAGATCTGTTATCTTCTTGACTAGCATGGTGATATGGTCATCTTGAAGATTCTGGTCAAGTATGTGAGTTTCCTGAGCGTGTTGCTGTAGTGACTGGAATACAGCAGGCTTCACTTCCTGGAGGACATCTCATTGCAGTGTTAGAATGGCCTTATCGGGCAAATGACTCCACTTGGCAACCAACAGACGTAGTAATTTGTCTGCTACTTTCACCACTTTCACGACTGATGAAGACGGGCTTGTTAGCTTTCCATAGCTCTTGAAAGAGGTTAAGCTGGGCTTGGATGAACTCTGGCAATATGCATGATCAGGCAAGGAAGCTTGGCTGTCATCATCTGTGGCCAAAACAGCAGGGGCCGGTTGTATAAAGCTCTTAACTACTTTTTAACTAGCCTTTTTGTAGTTAAATAGTTGTTAACTTTAACCACGTAGTTAGACCGGTTGTATAAAAATGTAGTTAGCGTAAATTACAGTTAAAACACAGTTAAAGTTAACTATGCCTTGGGGCATCGTTAACTTTTCAAAACGTAGTTAAAAATGGCCGCGTTACTAAGAGTGATCAATTTTTACAATCGAGACAACAACATAGAAAGACAACGCTTACCAAGGGTTTTTAATCGCCATCTTCCATGGGAGGGTTTTTCCGATGAGGAACTCATAAAACGCTATCGGTTTGGCCGAGAATCGCTTCAATTCATAGCGAGATTAATCGATGACGAAGTTCGTCCTCAAACGCAGCGGAACCACTCAATATCGACTGAGGAGCAACTCGTAATAGCTCTCAGATTCTTTGCCTCTGGTAGCTTTTTGCAAGTTATTGGGGACACTAACGGCTACGATAAAGCCACGGTATCCAGAATTGTTCGCCGAGTTTCTCTTGCCATTGCAAATAAACATGAACAGTGGATAAAATTCCCAACAACAATGGCAGAAAAAAACAAAATACGGGCGGGAATGTACGATATTGTGGGTTTTCCCTGCGTGGTAGGCTGCGTTGACGGAACGCATATCCGTATTCAAGCGCCAAGTCAGAATGAACCAAATTACGTCAACAGGAAAAACTACCACAGTATTAACGTGCAAGTGATCTGTGATGACCAAGGTTAGGATTAATATGTTGTTGTTTAGACTTAGTTTTATCAGCACCCTAGTGAATCTGCAGAGGCCAAAAATATTGTAAGCAAAATTAATTATGTAATAATATGCAAACTTCAAAAGAATACATAATTAATATATTAACTGACTGCATATATTAAAATTTATTAGGGTCACAATCACAATGTCAAGGCAGTCATGCTATGCAAATTTAATTAATGCTCAATTTGGTTCATTATTATCAATAGAAAAGAAAACAGTATTGCTGAACAATATAATTTCATTTTATTAACTCCCAATGTAAAGTCTAGAATCTAAAGTCTATAACAGTCTAGCTATAGAATCTCTTAACTATAACCATATTAACATAGTTGTTTGTTTACAAACATTTCAATGAGTAAATTAAATATAATTCTACAGGGAAATTCACCAATGTGGTCGCAAGGTGGCCTGGCTCATGCCATGACTCATTTATTTTCCGGTCTTCTGTTCTGGGCAGGAGATTGGAAGAGGTCCCTCACAACACTGAGGATGGCATATTATTGGGTGACAGCGGATATGCCCTAAGATCATTCCTAATCACCCCCTACCTTGACCCTGTTCAACCCCATCAGAGAAGGTTTAACAGGGCCCACAAGAAGACTCGATGTCTGGTGGAACGTGTCATTGGTACATGGAAGAGGAGATTTCATGTGTTACATTCAGAAATAAGGTAGGCTAGAACATTAGATAGAGTAACAAAATTATTTGTTAGAGTAAAAGACTAGAGTAAGCACATAGTGGCATATTGCACATTATGGTTAGGTCAATATTAACTCATTAATTAAGCAGCAATACACATGCAACCTACTTTATTCTTTTACTCTAATGCCATATTGATTTTAATAAATGGCAAAGTAAAGGTCATTATGTGTTAATTTGTATCATATTGGTTTAGGATGACACCAGACAGAGTGTGCACAATTATCATGGCATGTGCAGTGCTACAAAACATTGCAGTTCAGAGACAAGAGCCAGAACCAGAAGAAGACATGGAGTTTCTTGAGCAGGTGGATGGGGAAGATTATATCGCAGCTGGAGCAGAACTTGTTGGTGTCACTGCCAGGGACTATATGGCACAAACATATTTTGCATAAAAATATTATTCTTATGTAAACTTGTTTGTGCCATATAGTTCAAACTGCCAAAGACATTTGGTTAGGGAAAGCTATATATTAAGGAAAAATCTTTTCACCCCAATTATATAATGTCAGTGAAATGATGTACCAATCAAATCCAACTGCAATCATTTCCCTTCTGGGTGGTTCCTGGTTGGTCACAATTCCAGAACCGTGACTACATGAATAGCAGAACATTTGACTGTGGTTTGTTAATAGGGGGTGGAGAATGATCACAGTTGGAATTGACCTGTACATAGTTATGAAACTGAAATTTGTTTCCTTTACATTAGTACAACTGAGTTAGGGGTCCCTAAAAAATTGGTGAAACAGGACATGTGAATGGTTCCTCAACATTTGTTGCAACACTTTTAACCTTTCTTTCCAGGAGCTGCACTTGCAGCTCCAACTTCCTTCTCTGCAGGAGGAGATTTCCAGTTTCAATCTTCATCTTCTCTTTTTCCGCCTTTAGAACTGCAAGATGCATCTCTTGCACATCAAGACGCATCTCGCCTTGCGTCTTAGGGCGCTTCCTTGGTGGTTTATTCCTGTCTTTCCTCGTGGATCATCTATTATGATAGGTGCTTCGATGGATGACCCACTACTACCTACGAATATAGGATAACAAAATTTATTAAGATTAAGCTTAACTAATCAAACAGGATTTAAGTATTCACATTCAAAATCATCATCTTAGAACTTAATAACTGCATGTGCAATAACTAATTTGACAACTATAATCGTAAAAATTTATCAATATTGGCTTGGTACTATAAAGAGTATATAAATCGTTTACCAGTTTTATTACCATTATCGCCTATCATAGACACAGGAACTTTGTCTGTTTTACCACTGCCCTCATCAACGTCGTCATATAAATCATGATAGTCCTCATGATCACTGTCATAATGGGACAGGGTTGAATGGGTATTATCTCTATTATCACTGGTATCAGCTAAGAAAAAAAATAAATTGTATGAGCATGTTGAAAAGTACATTCAATATACAAAAAACTTGTGATACAGCACAACATATTTCGTGTTTATATTTTATTAGTATGTCCATTATTTTGTTGTAATATATGAAATTATTTTTCCATGAAGTTAGACAATAAAACACTTATCTTGTGTGGTATACTCGTCCTTTCTAATCCTTGCCGCAAAAATAACCATGTTTTTATTATTCCTTGTTGTATTTAAACTTGACTATGCTTTGACGTTGTTCAAAATTTGCATGGTTCGATATTTTCAACACAAGACGGAAGAAATAATTATTGTAAATTTCCGGTGTGTGTGATCCGGTATAAATTTGCAATATCCGGCGGGAAAATTAAAAATTAAAATTCAACATTTGAGGGATAAATAAACAAAACGTTTTAATTTATCGTCTTAAAAATTATTGCAAGAATACCAATGCTAAGTTATATAAATTAACTGGAAAATACACAAATAAGAAATTGCTATAAAGATGGGGATTCTGACTCAAAACCGCCTTGTATACCAGAAAAAGAAGGCTCATCGCCCAAAAGACTAATTATTTTGGCAGTTGTACTTGTTGGTGGCTTTTCTGCTGGCCCCCCACCAGTTTTTCTTTGAGACTTTAGAAGACCCGAGTTGGTTTTCTTAGCCACTTGGGCCATGTTACGCCACTTTTCCCTGACTTCTGCAGGCGTTCTCTTTTCATAGCCTAAGCTATTAATTTTGCTTGCAATTGTTTCCCACAATTGTTGCTTCTTGGCATTTGTAATTGTGCTCGAGAATTGGCCACGCAATGTGCCTAAATTCTTTTCAACCAGGTCTACTAAGAGACTGCATTCGGCTGAGGTAAAATTTTGTTTTCTTTTTTTCCCTTGTCTCTTCTCAGGCTGGGCAGACATTTTGAAATTTTTGTATACAAATATATTGTAGCAATGTTGATATATAGGAAAGTGGCATAACATGACCCAACTAAGAGTAATGTAGCTACAAGTTGTGTGGTGGTATAAATTGCATTGAATATTATCAAATATGAAAATAACACAAATTATACATGTCAATTTATATAAATTTTTAATCATGTAAATTATTTACATAGTATTTACTATTTTTTGGATAGTAAAGGCACAGTGACACAAGGCAATTTTTGCTGCAACTTGCAATGCCATTTTGGAGCTAGAGCGATGTTATGCAAAAATTATGTTCACACTGTCAGAGAAATTCTGAACTTGAAACTCGCTTTACTTTGCCGATATTTTTCTTGGTAGAGATGTCTAACGGGCGACAACAATGTTAATAAGAATGATAGTATCGGTAAAGTGAAACGCGGGCCATGTTCACAGTGTTTCTGTGTGTACATGTTCACATAACATCTCTCTGTGCAAAAATTGAGTTGCAAGTTGCAGCAAAAATTGCCTTGTGTAATGTTCAGCACCTCAAATGAATTAGCTGGAAATACTAGAATTACTTAGCTACTAGAATTGAAAGCCAGACATTCTCATAGAAAATGAGCAGTGGCATGAAATATTGAGGGAGCGGATTTAGGTTGCCAAGATATCAACTTTTATTATAGAAAGTCTTAGTAATTAAATTAGTTATTTTGCCTTAAATTTATGTAATGTATTATTAGCTTGATTGCTAGCCTTCCAACGTTTTAACGGTTAAAATTAGTCACACGTTGTTACGCAGCTTAAAGTAGCTATTATCCACAGCTTTTCAAAAAGTATTGGGGACCATTACCCCCCCCCCTCCTACCAAGGATCCGCCACTGATATCTAATGCATGGATCAATTCTTGTTGTTACCATCCCCCCCACCGGACAACCCCCGGGCTAATGCAGAAACTTTAATCCCGGGGGTGGAGAATTGTTAGAAAATTTTGCCCCGGGGTAAAAAGCAAAAATCCTTTCCAGAACCATGTTTTGACCGTGTATCTAGCGGCTAGCACTTGCAGTGACATGTATATAGTTCAGTGAGCGCACGTCCAAAATATTCAACATGGCGACTACCTAATGCTCATTTCAAGAGGTCTTTTCGGGAAAATTTGCGAATTTGTTGGGGAATGGTTGGAAAAAACAACTTACAAAAGTTGAAACCTATTTTTGAAAGTAGGTAGTTTATCTTTTTTTTCAACAGTACAATGTTGCGATGCCCCGGGGTGGGGAATTGTCAAGTTTTAAAGTCCCGGGGGTGGGGAATTTACTACATTCTTGCAAAAAAAATACAAATCCCGGGGGGGGGATGGTAACAGCAGGAATTGATCCATGCATAAGTCAGGTTAGTTTACTAGTTGTAAAGGTGCCAAAGGCATAAATTATACGACCTTCTAATAAGAGAATAGGTACTGTACATATTGTAATAAATTAGGTATGAAACTCATCTTATTAATAGAGGAGATAAAACAACATCCCATATTAGTGAATAGTGATATTAAATTCTTCGTTGAATTCTTCCAAGATGGTAGAAATAATCCCAAACTGAATAGCAGGTAAAAATAATAGCATCATTCATTTTAAACAGATAAATTATATCGCTCCACTTTGATAAATGTGACTGTGTGAGTAGCAGATCCAGTTAATTTTCATCCAACATTGAAATTGGACCGATTCAGCTTCAGTCTTCAGATATTTGAGATATACTATTTCATCATCCAATTTTATAAGTTTTAAAGTTGAAACACACAAACCATGGAGTTCATACGTTCATCCACAATAGTATGCAAAATATCTAAAAGGATTGCTTTTCATCGCAATATTAAGCCATTTATGAAGAGTATTCATTCCAATCGTTCGCCATTAAAATTGTTTTCGAAACAAAATCGAGCCCACAATTAAGTTTAAATTTGCTTAATGCATGTCAGCGGTCATTTATCAACGTCATAATTTATGTTAATTTATGTTAACTACCCCACGCGAACCCCACGCACAGTTAACTAGGTGATTAGTTAACTATCCGACTAACTACGTTTTGTGCAACGCAGTTAAGTCATGTAGTTAGCTAACCGTAGTTAAGGATTTAACTACGCTAGTTAACGCTAACTATAGTTAACTTTAACTACGTTTTTATACAACCGGCCCCAGCACATTCTGCACATTTGATACAGCCAGGGATGATTTTGGCTATATATCCCCCTATGTATGCCAGGACATCCTCATGCCAGATGGTGGAACTATTCAACAGAGCGGCAACTTTGCTATCTACACCTTCGGCTTCTTTGGAGAACTTCTCCTCTTCTATGACAGAGCAATTGCCAGTTTCAGCAGCAGTCACCTGGTTCTTCTGAAGCAATGCTCTCAGGGCCCACTTAAACTGGAGTGCATTTAGGTTGTTGTTCCATCCAAGATAACTCCGAATCTTGCTAAAGAACATTTCCAGCTGATCTTGGGAAAAAAGGTAGGTAAGCATATACTTGAACTTGTTGTAATTTCTTGATAATAGTTCTTTAGCCAAAGCCATAATTAATTTTGCTGACACAGCAAAACCAAGGATAAATGTTTTTCTTGGGCCATTCATTAATTTTGTTCCATTATTATCCTTCAGTTCAGTTAAATAACTAATTGTGTCGAGAAGGTAATGACGTAATTCATCCAGATTTTCTAATGTAAGTGGACCTTTGTAACTCTTGCCAAACTTACTCTTGAAATTCAAAATGCCAAACATGTTGTTAATTTTCAGAATGAATTCTGCCGCTTCTTCACTTTTTTTAAACCGTTCTAAATTGAGGTTTTGAAGGTACATTATACCAGCCGCAACAGAATTACTCGAGGTTTGGGCTGCGACAGCCACTTTTATTTTTGGTTATGCCACCTTACATGTGTAGCTTTAAGTTTGTTTCCAAGATGCAAAACATCACCTTGTTGAACATTATAGAGTGCTGTGATGTACTGCCAACTGATCATGTCCCCACTCTCTGTGAAGAACACCTTCATGTCCCCCAAGCTGTTGCGTGCAAGCTTCAACATGTGGCACACATCCAAAATGACATAGAGTGTTTTGTTTGGTCGTGATGGGTGCTTGAATGAGCCGTCGAATTTGTCAATGTTGCATCCCAGACACCTTGCTGTGGCGATGTTCTTTGCACAACCATCAAGACCTGCATCGGTAAGTAAGTTAATTCCCTCTTTGATTATTTGTGCCTGCATTTTGGCATTAACACGATCCACTAAGAAGTATGCAAATGGATGGAACCATGGCTTTTTCAGTCTGACAGCCATGACAACTAGGGCATTAGTGGCAATGCTATCTTGTTCCTCTGCTAGGATAGGGCCATAGTCTGTGTTTCCTGCAAATTTTTTGTTCTTCTTGTCCCATATTACTTCCTTTTTTATGGACATCTCATCAACTAACAGAAAACAATCCTTGTCATCTACATCAAGACTGTTCTGCAAGTGTTCAATGACACAAGTCAAGAAACCAGGCTCACACTTGATAGCTGCTGCCCAAGCTCGTATGGTGGCTGGACATGGTAGGTGAAGTGACTTTCGTACAAACTTGTATGCCTTCGGGCTGTAGAAATGTAGTGTTACTGCAAATTGTTGATGGTATCGCCATATCGTGAACCTTTTGATTTGCCAGCATGTTTCTGCTTGTTTATAAACAAGTCCTTTGTCATGTGACCAAAATTGGATAGTAGACTTTGACTTTGCTCCTTAGATAAGTGCCGTGCGTTTTCCAGTTTCGTCACCAATCCCTTTATTGTTTTCTCCTTGCGCAGATTTTTGCTTGTCAGTGCTCTTATCTTCTTTCTTTTTTTTTCCAGAGACTTTTTCAATTTTGGAATAACCTTCGCAGGAGATATGCAATAATTATGGTCTTGCATAACAGGCTGATTGGAAATTCTAGGTTTCTTTTTAGGAACTTCTTTCTTCGGGCTGGGAGCTTTTCTCTTAGCAGGATTTCTAGGTTTAGTCGCCTTGTTAAGATGGGGAGGGAAATCGAAAACTGATGGTACAGCATTTGGTTTCAATGTTGGTTTTAAACAATCTGTTAGCTGGCCTTTTACCCTCACATAATCATCTGGTGTGAAGTGTTTTTCACATAAGACAGAATACTTAGATGGCTTCCACTTATCCCGTTTCATGGCATTTACCCAACTACTTAACAGGCTTGGGTTGTTCAAGGGAAATCTACAAAAACAACATGCCTAGCTCAATCACCAAACACTGATGAAAAGTGGATGTTAACCCAATACCCCCCAAAAACCCAAATAAAAGCAAATATAAAAATAGGTATGCGACGCGTACATGTATCTGCGAAAAAACTTGATTCACATTTTGTATTTTCTTGAAAGAAACTGAATAATGAAGATGACATGGGACAATTGAAATATTTCATCACTTATTATAATAGCAGATAAGATTTAAAACAGGGCTGTACACAGCGGGGAGTACAACAGGGCAAGTGCTCCCCACCCCCGCACCGAGAAAATTTAACTAACTTTATAATATGATTATGATTGTAACAGATAATTATGCAGTCAGGAAATAAAAATTTCATGCAAACAATATTCAAAGTGTCTATACAGCCGGCTATTTAGTAAACTGTCACCTGTCAATTCAATCCATACTCATCAAATTTTCAAAATTTTATTGTAATCATATGAAGCAAAAGTTATGTCACTTGTTGTTTACACTTGCCAATGTTAACTGTTGAGTAACATACACAAAATATTTGGTGAACATGTCGAAGACCACTGAATAATTGAGAATGTTTTGAAGGTCATGAGTGAAGTATATAATTAAATTCCAGTTCTGTGCACAGTTAATGATATACCACACTGTTCGATTTAACACGTACAGCACATTCACACAAAAACAATTGTGTTGTGGGATATTATCGGTTTGAGTAGAAGGTATCACAAGTTTAGTTTTGTACATTGTGTGCCATTGATCAAATCCACCATATAATATATGATTATTCATTGTAGCTGTTAAGTTATTTTCCATACTAATGAATTTAGGTAAGATTGTCTTGCAAGTTGGTTGTTCTGACAAAATTATCCAGCCAATATCCAGTGCATTTATTCTTCATTCTTGTATTAATCTCTAAAGAAAAATATTTATGTTAGAAAGCAAAATGACAATGTAATGAGGCTCAGGAGGGTGAGGATTCTTTTATTTGAAAATGTTTGTAAAAATTTTGTTTAATTAACTCTAATGTGTAAAACCAAAATGTACAAGTATTTTAACTGATAACATCTTGAACCTTTGCTCTAACACTACATTTGATGACAGCTTTATAGTTGGATCGACTGTTGTTACGAAGTCAATATACAGAAATACAGGACCAGGATGTAATTCAATATCTCCTGAGAACTGTTCAATTGGTTCCTCTGATATTGTTAATTGGCAATATTGCCTGCTATGTTTTCACTGTTTAAAATATTACAGAAGTCACAGAAGGATTGTTTTTAATAGTGTATAAATCTTTTTGTGAACTATGTTGACAAATGGCTTAAAATATCCTCGAAAATATCCAATATTTTATACAGTGTAATATATTAATAAAAAAATTCCAGAGTGCATTCCATGTAAACTCTACGCCGAACATACGGCAATATCAATTCTTTATTCTGTGGCAATATTAACTATAGATAGTATAGTAAATATTTGCCGAACTGGCGAACTCATGTATTATTAAATATGTGGGACATCTATTTGCACAAATTTGGTATTTAAATATATAATATGTGGTATTTGACTACTTACCAGATGAGGATAAGATTCCATGTTGATAACTTCAATTCAAGAGAAAAATTAATAAAAATATCAAGATATTTTTGAAAGAATAACACGATTTATACACGAGGCCTGACGAGGCTAAAGTATGCCCGTTCGCAGGTTAGATGCGGGCACGATGTAAACAATTGATGTAAACGAATCGCTGATTGGCTTAAATTATATAAGCTCGTCGCTGAATGGCTATCTGTTAACATACGGTACGGTACGGTCACGGCACGTTTGCGATAGCATATATATATCTGCTTCGCAGATACAAAAATGGTGAAATTTTAAATGGTATAAGCTACAGGTTATTACCAGCTGTGAAAGCTATTCTGCTGCATGGACAAAGCATGGCCATGGAACCAACAACCCACCCTGAATTTTTGTAATCCTCTTAATTTAAATGTTTATGAGTGTTAAAAATAGTTACAAATTATCACAGTCTCAGTTTATTTATTTAATAATTATAATTGATAAAATACAATACACAAAAGGAAATGAAATTCATTTGAGGCTGGAATAAGATTGCATTATATGAGAGTACATATCAATATCCATGGCAAAGGTATCCATAGGTCTTGGTTGTGCAATGTCATTACATGTACATTATTCAAACCTTGAAAATCTAATGACTAGCACAGCTAGGTGCCATAGTTAGCTTTGTCATGGATCACAAACTTTGTTTTAACAATTAAAACTGTTTTAAATGGTAATCTTCTTTTGTCTTGTCCTACAAGCATATAACACAAAAGCCACAACCAGTACTACAGCTGTCAAGATTTACCTGTGAAATGACAAGTGCGTGTCATCATTTGATTTCACCCTTCTATTTGTACAATTATACACCGCACACGAGTCGGGCATATTTTTTTGAATTAGGAAAATAACTAGGTTTAATTTTTGTCTCCTCTCAGAACAAGGAAAAGCAATATAATGAAAATAACTCTGTGAAAACTTTGAACATATACTTTTTGTCAAGAAAAACAGTAGATTTTATATTAATATAGGGTAAGCAAAATTCCCCGCGTTTTTTTCCGCGCTTTTCTCCATACGCCCTATTCTTGAATTTTGACATTCTGGACTGAATTGAGGGTCACTGAAAGGTCAAATAGGGGCTGGGATTAGCATGTATTTAGGCCGGGGAAAATGGTATTCAAGCTGACTACAGACAAGCAAGTTTTCTATGACAAGTTTTGAATTAAAACTTGCCACATGACAACTTGTCATAAAATAACTTCGTCGCAGCGGCGTAGGAACCATCAAAAGACTGGGGGGCACCTGCTTCCAGGGGCACTTTGGGGGGGGGGGAGAAATTTCCCCATGATACCATAGCGAAATTGCACATTTTTAACTTTTTTAAAAAAACTTGGAAATTTCCAAACAAAAAGGGCACCTTTGAATTTAATTTAGTATTTACAGCAACATTAGTTTGTACAAAAAGGGCACTTTTCATCACAGGAAAAGGGCAATTTTAGTCCTTTGAAAAAATTTGGGGGCCACATGACCCCCCCCCCCGGTTCCTACGCCGCTGCTTGGTCATCTGTAACCAGCTTTACTTGCTGAGACGACTGGGATTTAATACAAAAAAAGCAATAAAAATGGCAATTAAAATTGGGAATGGAAAATGAGAGTATGATATAGAGGAAATACAGGGCTGCCAAGACCTTTTAAGTGGCCAGGGGCAAAGTTATATTTTGGGGCCTTCTTATCCCCGTTTTTTTTCACTTAAATCTGAGGCCCATGGGGCAACCCCAGACAGCCTTGTAAAATATAGCTTACTAAATCTTGTATTAGAAAGAACCATAAATGGAAAACACTAACATATTGTTAATCTGGACATTCATTCTCACTAGATGATATGTCAACAAATTTAGTTTTGGACACACAAGAAAACTACATGTTAGTTTTATTGAGGTTCAACAAAGTAGGAAAATTTGCCATTAATTATTTGAAGGATTAATATATTTTTACTATAGAAATGATAATTAGTATTAGTATAAAGGTGTGCAGATTTCATTCATGCATACATAAAACTGTTAAGTTAATGGACAGAATTTATTTTATAATTATAAAGGTTTATATTTCACGACCACCATGGAAAGTCTGGCAGATGCATACTTGATATTTTTTTCAGTATATGAACAGTTGCACACTGTTACTGTATTTTTAAAAAAATACTGAAAATCAGAAACAACACTCAAATTTGCAGTACATTACACACTTGAATTTTTCCATGCTGCATACATTTTTCCTCGTCAAAATCTGCCATATTACCCAGTTTGGTCTCATGATCTCCCCGGGAGTCGGGACAAGCCTAATCAATATAATGATCAGAAGTCTTCCTATCATGAGTAATGCTGTCTGCCATTTCATACAGTGAATTACAATAGGCTGCATTTCATCTTCCTAAGTTTTAACTATTTACTGTTTATGTGTCAAATTTCACCTCTTGGTGATATTTGGGGTCAGTTGATTGTGGATTTAACTTTTAAATACTGTTTTTAAGTTTTATCCTCTAAGTAATGTTCCGAATATTCCTCAAAATATTTAATGACTAAATGTAAACCAAGTACATTTAAAACCTCTAAACCCAAGTATTAAAATGACTCGAGTTCAGCAAGTGACATGCCAAGCTTCGGCGAGCGATATTTTAATATAATTCATCCCAGTCTGCATCCAAAGCCTTTAAGGTTATACGTCTTTGATCTTGAAAACCACAAATTTCTTTTATAAACTGCTCTAAACCCGAGTAATCCACTCGAACTGACCAAGTGACGATTTCGCACAAATTTCGGCAAGCGATAAGTTTACATCAATTCGTCCCCAGCTGTCCAGTTTGCATCTAAAACCTTCACGATAAGTAGTTATTGCCAAAAAAAGTTTGATCGAAGTGGATTCGAAACACTGGGGCGACGCAAAATGCAAAAAAATGGATCTCCCCATAGAGTTTATATTCTTTTTGCCCTGAATGGCGGCCATCTTGGATTTATCATGCAGGTCACGCCTCCGCCAGGTATGAGTCAGCAATCTAGGTTTATTATATCTATGACCCTAACATACTTAAGTTTCCTGACTTAATATATTATCAAAATGCTCTATTTATGTTTGATTTTCACACCAGCAATTTACCAACTATATTTGATAATTTCTTTAAAAATGTTACTGAGGTGCATAATTATAATACGAGGTCTTCTGCTAAACACCCAAACAATTTTGTATGTCAACACTCCTTCCTCTACCTGCTACTTAATATAAACAATGATAACCTTTTTAAAAAATCTAGAGCACTATGTCTATAAACAGTTTTAGAATCAATAGAATAGACATTCAATGTCTATTCCGCTAGTGTCAAAATGTGTAACCTAACTTTAAAAGGTTTGTGGAGGGGGCAGAGGAATCCAACATAATGCCTCACTTGGTATGCCCATAGAAATGGGTGTGCCCCTGTTCATCTATTCTTTAATACTACACCAACAGTGAAACAATGAACATGCATGCCTATTGTTGTACAAAAACCGAAAATGAGAACATCTCAAAAACCCACTAAAGCAAGATGTAAACTTATTACAAAATCATCATTGGACCAACTGATTTACAAGTAAGTATAAGCCCTCTTAATATCTGTACAAGAAAAGCTGAAAGTTGATATATACAAATTCACTTATATCACAAATGGTCAAGTAAATTTAAATTTTAAGACATATGATAAATTATTAAGATTTGGTCAACTGATAATTCAAATATTCTTCTCAGTCATCCCAATGAAATATTCCGATTAACTTGCCAATTAAAGTCCAATTTAGAATAAAGTGTGCATGCGACTCTCTCATTAAGCAAACTTTCAACCAATATTTTTCTTTCTTCCCCCATATCACACTCAAGGCCATCCCTTGACACATCTTTTATGGATTTACTATTCATATTAAGTGCTAGAACAATTAGATAAGGAGCAATTTATTTTAAAAAATAAATTAGGATTAATAAGAGGCAACATCCATACCGAAAACTAAACGGAAACGATAAGCAAAGAAAACAACCGCCTTGCTCTCCGGGCAACACCTGCCACATGTCAATGCCAAATTGTCAATATAATCCCATTTTGCTAAGCCGACATTCTTCAGTTATCAGCAAAAGCTAGCCAAATTTTATCTCAGTTCACTCTGATTTCAACGGTCTTCGAGACAACATAGAAGGAAAATTTTCCGTACACGAAAATGCCCGTGGTACATTTTCTCGGATAAATCGAAGCTTCCAAGTCCCGACGTTCAGAACCTGGAAAAAGGCTGTTTTCTATCCACATTTGATCCACTTTTTAAACCGGTGAGTGCGTTTCATATTGTCATTATACTTAAGCGCGTTATGTTATACACTGAAGTTGCCACGAACAGCATAAACCTACCAATGTTCGTCCATGGTAGAACGTTTTTGGAGCCATATTACCTGCGCAATTCGAGTACATCCCATGAACTGTTCGGCTTTTCGTTACCCGCATTTAGTTTATCAACATACTAGCTACTAGCTATATTCTGCGACATTGCTCTCACGAGGCAGTTATGAAAACGCAGGTCTAGGCCCGACAGGGTGAACATGTGTTTAATGAAATACTCCTAAAACAGTATTATACTACACTAGGTGTTAGTTGGTGTTAGGACGATAATTTTATATATACAATATATTCCCATATATGACATGTATGTTTGTCACGTACAAGTACAATGTCCACTTCATCAACAAAATACCCTGCTTCATGATGAAACATTTGGCCACAGGCATATAAACAGAGTCGCCCTATGTATACTACAATGGCCAGTCAAATTATGCCAGTCTGTGGCAGTCTCGCAGAATACTGTCATCTTATAATCTAACTCCTTGTGGTGAGGCATATTTATGTTTTGTTTTGTTTTCCCCATGAACCACATTTGTAAGATTGTACTGATATCATTTGCCTGATACCGAAGAGGTAAATAGACTTCTAATCTCTGTAACTCAATTTAAGATACATTAAGACTGTAGCGCTAGCCAGCTACAAGACAAGCCAATTTGAAGCATGCATAGCAAACAATATGACGCTATACATAAATCTCTATGTTAGAATATATATACATGTACGGTACCGACTATTGTGTCTGTGACTAGTGTATGTCACCTATCTAATCATATATCTCAATCAGGAATAAAATTTACAAACAACCACATAACTTCAGCCACGACACCATACTCCATAGATATCGTATATATATACACTAGATGTCTATGCACGACACGCGTGTATAGATCGTTATCCAAGATATACAGAACTGTCAGAACACCATGCACACGCATTATACATACATTATGCCATTACTATACAATATCTTACTATATGGTCTACTCTCCAAACCCGATGAAGACCCAAGAAATCCATTAACCAAATACCGCCTATACAAAAGATTGCACAACGCAAAATCCTGTATATATGGACTATATAAGGTATAAAATTACAAACTGGCATAAGAAAAATTGCTAGTGAAAGAATTTAAAGATCGTCGGTTTCTCACTCGTTCAGGAATGCTCAGTACAGATTTTAATTAACCCCACTGTAGAGGAAACATTTCCTGCCACACTCGGTATTTGGACGCGGCAGAGCGCATGAAGTATATGCAGCTGGGTTAGACGATTTTATTACCGACATTCTGCTTTCATGGGTTTCCGCATATTTCTCTCTGGAAAGCTTGGAAATGCGCGGACGAGATTTCAAAAATTTAATAGTAAATATATAGAAAGCATCAAAATTGCTTGCACGTCATGACGTCATATAACTGTAAAATACAACATATATATTCTCCTGTACAAAAACCCCAGTCTCACAAAATATGTCAACAGCGATCTTCGCATTTTATACCACAAGCGCTAGATAATAATTGAAATACTACAGCATGACATCATGATCACCTGCATTTGCATAGCGTCTTACAAAACCCAGTACTGTACATAGTAGGTACTTATATAGCTAGCGTACCAACTACCAAAACGAAAAGGTTTACGGCATATTTCACCAGATCAAAACAATTCCTAATACGATACACTGTTATTTCAGAGGTTATTTCCTATTTTATGCCATCGCGTATACACCCCACATGCAATTCGAACTAAACATACTTCACAGTTCACTACAGTGTATCACACACCGAGACAAAGCCAAATTAAGGGGTAGTAGAGCACTCGCATTCTACTACAAATTTATTCATCGCGCATTGAGACAACTATTATCGACCAGCTCATGATTATACGACAACTATTATCGACCAGCTCATGATTATGCACATGCGCAGAGCAGTTTTTGCTTTTCTTCGTCTCTCTTTTAGTCATTCTGTTACAAACGAAGGAAGGACATGAAGAAGATCTCAGGATTTTCGCCATCTTGGTTTCCGCCTTCCATCACCTATCTGGATCACTCCTACGTCCTAATGGCTATGAACTCTTTACGTATATATGAACTATTTATGACATAATCTACATTCTATTACCTGAACTATATATGTATTGTCTACTGTGCGGTGGCGTTTTGCTTTGGATTGCGACAAATTAATTCTGATCGTTTAGTTCCCTTATTTATGCTCAAAAGCGTAGTTTCATAACAAAACAAAGAAAAAGAAAACAAACCAAAAACAATAAAACAAATAACGCATGCGTTAACAGAATAGCTTAGTGCATGGTGTCTAGCGCGATACTGACATTTCTTAATTTTGTAAAGATAAAGCTATGTGGGGAGCTGCTGGTGGTCTTGGCCCTACCCAGGTTTTCCTGTACTGCAGGTTTTTTCCTGGCCTCCCTGATTATCCAGCCGTAGCATAAGTGTTAGTATCTCGTGGACACCATATATCTTATTTGCGCAGCATGCCATCATTACATACTATAAAACATACATCTATACCATACTATAAATACTAATTCATATTAACTATTTATAATTTTTCCCGACCAACATGCTTCTCGTGGGGGATCTACACTTTGTTTCGATCAATGGCGGAAAGTGGTGTCCACACGGCCACACTTCGCCCACGGTGAAGCACACACCGGCAAAAGAGAGCAAGGTCCATAACGGCGGGGACCCTTACCCTCGTCCTGATCTTCGCATCTCTTGGTCACTTCACCACGGGGAAGCCCGGCTCGGACATGAGATTCAATGTCCATAACGGTGAGGGCCCTTACTCTCACCCTGATGTTGTTTCTCCAGCTTTTCTGGGGGCCCTTACCCCCAAGAAACCGCACTTTCCGTCACCCAATTTGGCCACAAAGGATTTGCGTGATTTATTAAGGAGCAATTTATTTTAAAAAATAAATTAGGATTAATAAGAGGCAACATCCATACCGAAAATTGGGATTAATAAGAGGCAACATCCATACCTAAAACTATGTAACCTAAACGGTAACGATAACCAGGGAAAACAACCGCTTTCCTCTCCGGGCAATATCTGCCAAGCGTCAATGTCAAACTGCCAATATAATCCTATTTTGCTAAGCCAACATTCCTCAGTTATCAGCAAAAGCTAGCCAAATCTTATCTCAGTTCACTCTGGTTTCAACGGTCTTCGAGACAACATAAAAGGAAAATCCCACCCACCCAACCCTTTAATGAAGATGATGATCCAATAATCAGGAACTATAGAAACTTAATTAAATATAGGAAATCAATTGTAATCATATCTATATTGTTCTGTTTTATCAACTTGTAAATAATTTTATACATTCAAGAAGAAATAAAGAAAGCGGGACGGAAAGTGGTGTCCACACGGCCACACTTCGCCCACGGTGAAGCACACACCGACAAAAGAGAGCAAGGTCCATAACGGCGGGGGCCCTTACCCTCGTCCTGATCTTCGCATCTCTCGGTCGCTTCACCACGGGGAAGCCCGGCTCGGACATGAGATTCAATGTCCATAACGGTGAGGGCCCTTACTCTCACCCTGATGTTGTTTCTCCAGCTTTTCTGGGGGCCCTTACCCCCAAGAAACCGCACTTTCCGTCACCCAATTTGGCCACAAAGGATTTGCGTGATTTATTAATGACAGATTATTTAGAAAGCACAGAAAATTTAGCAAAATCTTCATCAGTCCGAAGAGCAGAAACAAAGTGCTTGAAATGTTCAATCCTGCTTGTGCCATAGCTGAAGTACAAAATAGAAGACTGCTCTAAAATCTTGTAAAAAACACTTACCAAAAAACAGAAAAGGAAACTATTAAGATAGTGCAGTAAACCACTAACCTTATCCAATGATTCATCATCCCAACCATCAGGTTGCTCAGTTACTTAATCAAAAATCTCTCAAAAGTTTCTCAATTTTTATATAAAACATTAATAGTACCACCTAGTATCACCAGGGTTGGGAAGCTCAAGATTATGGGATGTCAGAAATGCCTTTCTTCTAGGAGCATTACTTGTAAAAGTACTAAAGGCACTTGTATTAAAAAAAAATTTGACAGGAGCAATAGACAAAGCAGACTGGCACAAAACAAGATTTAACCTGTGAGCTGCACAATGGACAAAATGAGCAAAAGGATACTCTTGACGAACCAAAGTTTGAACACCATTAATGTGGCCAGACATCACAGAAGCACCATCATACAATCATTGATCTCTTTCAAAATTTCATCAATAACAGAATCAGGGCAATTAATCAAATCACTTAGAATTTCAGGAGAAACCCCAGTAACATGTCCACCCCCACCCCTTTCAGATTCAGCCAATCTACCATGTAATCTTCGTTCAAATACAGAATTAAACTTGGCAAAACACTCAAGCAATCACCTTTATTCAAGCTGTCTTCTGATTCGTCGTGACCTCTGAATGCCAACTCCTGCTTTTACAATACTGCTTCAGTAACTGTTTTTAAAATTTAATGGTTTTGCCTTACCTCTTCATTGTGATGCTGAAGAGATGGATCTCTTCTTGCTTGTGAAAGAAGATAATCCACTCGTAGATTCACTCCATACGTTTTCCACATTCTAAAAGCAGGTAAGTGCGACTTTGTCCTCTCATGTTTCTCGCCATCACACATTAAACTTCTCATGTTGGTGTAGCCAGCCTTTGTCCAAGTTGGTGAAGTTCCTGGACAAAACAAAAGACAACGCCAACAGAACAATTTTTCTAAAATAGAGCTGCCACAAAGCCAATCCTTTTTGCAATATCACTCCTTCATAAACAACCTTCCCTTATTCTTAATCTTTAAGTTGGTTGCTCGTTAACAATAACATTTTGTTCGACGATTGCTCGAACAGAGAAAGGCCTTATCAACAAAGCATTTGCAATATCGGCTTCAGATAGTTGAATTGTGATGCTCGTTGAAGCCATTTTATACAAATCACAAAAGCAAATATCAAATATGATTCCCGAGGCAACGGCACAAAGCGCCGTTCCGGGTGTAAGCCTGGGGCGACGGTACTAATTCCGTCCGGCTATTTACACCTGGGAAATGGAACACACTAGTGAAGCCTAAAGTTCATCAAATATCGCGGGTGTATGGGTGGTCATCTCACTGATCTCAAAATATGGCTGTTTGCCAGGGGCCGGTTGTACGAAAGGTGTTTAACTTAAACGGTGTTTAGCCACTAACCAGCGTATAAATTTCTTATCCAGCGTATAGTTAAACGGCCAATAAAATTGCGTTGTACGAAGCCTGTTTAGTACCGCGTTTAAGCAGAGGAGGAATGAGGGTCTTCCCGAAATGCAACGCGTGAATCAGTGCGGCTCATTATTATTCAAGCTATTTATTCTCAACACGCCGTTCGATTAAAAACTGTTGAAATATATTGCGATTTTTACTGTAAAGATCTCGTTTCCTCAAAGGTATGTTTTGATAACCATTGATACTTTAAAACATGAATTTACTCCATAAAACCGAAGAGTTATCGCGGTTTGAAAATGAGCTATTTTTCCTATATTCGATAATTAGCAAAAATAGCTCATTTTCAAACCGCGATAACTCTTCGGTTTTATGGAGTAAATTCATGTTTTAAAGTATAAATATAAAGAGTAAACATTCCTGAATTCACTGATGTAATTTTCTTTTAGTTTACTTGTAAAAAAGTACAATTTACTCCAGAATATTTCAATGCCACTTTTTCAACACCTAAAACATGCATAAATACAATGGGAATTTAACATAAGTAAAATGCGATATATATACAAAATTATTCAAAACTTCTTTTATTAAATTACTAAACAAAATGGTTATCAAAACATACCTTTGAGAAAACGAGATCTTTACAGCAAAAATCGCAATATATTTCAACAGTTTTTAATCGAACGGCGTGTTGAGAATAAATAGGTTGAATAATAATGAGCCGCACTGATTCGCGCGTTGCATTTCGGGAAGACCCTCATTCCTCCTCTGGCGTTTAACTATATCCGTAGGATAACCTTTAATTTAACCGAAGAAAACCGGATTTTCTTGAAATTTCTTACCTCTACGTCAGATGTTGCTGGGCCTTTGTAAACTTTTGAAGCTTTATCTAACTTGTGAATTCCACTAAGCTTTTGTAAAGTTTGTTGTTTATATTTGGAGTTTTCTCGTCCATACGTTGCAATTCTATATCAAACTTTTCATTTTCACATTGTGCTGAGTTTCTTTAAAGATTTTTGGCTTCTTTATGCTTAGAGTCAAAGGCAATAGCAAAAACTGTGAGTTGTGTTTGGCTTTTGCAAGGGCTTTTGTCAGTTGATTCAGTTTTATACTGTTTGAAATTTGTTATTTTGTTCCTCGACCTTGCACTTTTGTTCAAAATAATTTTAAGAACGTTTTGTCCCAAGTTTTGATTGGCTGATCAAAGCGATTAACTTGAGCGAACAAAATTTTTCGACTTTCGGCGTCTTGTTGTCTATTTTGTATACTTGTTGGCTTTCCAAAGGGCAAAGTCATTGTTTGTTTTAAAATAGCTAAAATTGGGAGTCTTACTGCTTGTTTTGAAACTATATAATAGAAGAAAAGAAGGAGAAAAAGCCAGAGTGTACTTAATGTCTAAACACTGACGTGCATATAAAATATAGCAAAGCCATGGAATTTAATACAAATGAGCAAGTGACCTCGGTGTACCTCAAGACCAAGCCAGTTAAAAGTGAGTTTTTCATGTTTATTGGATTTAAAAAGATAACTTCTCTACATAATTGTGCATTTCAATAACTATCCTATGCTCTTTAATCCGAAATAATCGTTGTTTTATCTTCAAACTCTGATATCCGCCGTATAGCGATTTAAATGGTCTCAAGAGACCGTTTAAGTTTACACGGTGGGTAGGCAAAATTTGACCGGTGGATAGCCCTAAACGGGCTTCGTACAACGCGATTTCTCGAGCGTTTAAATTTTATCCAGCGGATAGCAAGTTAAATGGTGGATAGTGACTTAAACGCCTTTCGTACAACCTGCCCCAGGAGTGAAGAAGGGAAAAATATAAAAAATACATGTAAGAAAGTTTGGAAAATCGTTTCTCATAACAAATTGTAAAACATTTTTTCAATTTTCAAATGTAAACATTGATAAGAATTGATTTTAGCATGAGAAATCCTAAAGTATTGGGCAAGTTTGTTCCAATTGTTTATGTATGACTTTGTATTTAATATTTTAGACTTTGTTCTTGTTGTTTAAATCTTTCCTATGCATTGTTTTGAATTTTACATTAAAATAAAGCCCATGGAAAACAAAATAATATACCTACTCTATAATATATTTAAAAATTGATAGTTCTGTATTTAAAAGTGTTAAAGTTTCATCTATTGTTTGCAGGTTTGTACAAAAAATTAAAAAAACAATTATTGTATTGCCATGACTAACATGACGTGGCAACACGAGCCTGTGTTCAGTGTTGGCGTAATTACGAATACCTCATGTTGAAACAATGTTTGGAGACTGTATGCAAGGGGTTGTTGCATGCATGCATTTCTAGTATGAATAATAATATGATGACCTACCATCACAGTTGTGAATTCCCATGTAGAAAGCTTCGTGAGAAAGGCTGAATATTAACAACCTCCCCCTTTATAAAACAGTGGGACTTGGCATTAAAAACAGCCGTTCTGGGCATGCACTGCACCAATTATCCAACCAAAAACCAATCTCGAAACCAGAGCCCGCAATCCTCTGTGGAGGCTTGCTGAGGCTGTGGGAAACACCGGCGACTTTTGCATGAAAATCAATAGATTTGGATCCAGTACCCCGCTTGACATTTATAAATAGACATTACTGCCGTCAAACATGAATTATGCCGTTGTTTAAATCATGGATTGTTGTGTTATTTTAAATATTATAGGCAACGGCTTATCATGACCTTATATGGTAATGCTGCACTGTTGTAATTCTACATTTTGTTAATGGCATATCAATATCTGAATAGTCTATTGATTTCATATGAGAAGCTAGGGAAGATTAATAAGTTTATTAAAATTATGCTGTGTGTTTCATTGATATGTTTAAACATGTTTAAATACACAAAGAGAAATAAACTTTATATTAATTATAAATGATGTTTGAAATCCGAATAACTAAATACGGCTCAAAGTTTGAATAATAATTAGCACTTGAAAGACTTTGAGGGCCACCCGAGCTTGGGCCTGGGGATGAGGATGTTGAAAAACAACCAATCAGAGCCTGACTTTCACCGGTGTTTCCTCAGCAAGCCTCCACAGAGGATTGTGGGCTCTGGTTTCGAGATTGACCAGAAACCAGAATTTCTTGTATAAAATAGTATTGCATATTCCGCCATATGAAAATCAGCAGAACACGAGACATGCGATTACGCGAATAAGCAATAAATTGCATGGAAATTAGTTGCTAGGCAATAAAAAGGTCAAAGAGCAGACAGCAGTATTGCATGATATTTAAATAAATAACAAATGAAAGGCTTGAAAAGCATTTACAAAATGATATTTCAATTTTCAAAAAAAGCAAAGCTGTGATTTGGTTTCACTATAAAACATTTCCTCATTTTTTTGGAAATGTTTAGTCCTGCCATCACGGACCAACTATCCATCCTTAACCTACCAAGACCTTCCTACACTTTACGATCATAGAGACAGT